TTTAGACGTGAAAAGGTGACAGACAGACAGAATTACCTTCAAATTTATAATATTAGTATGGATTAATATAAATTTCTGCTATAAGGGGTACACAAGTTTGAGCTCTTTCTTGAAGTGGTACGCAAGAAAAACTAATTGGGAACCACTGCTCTAAGTAATTTACTTCTACTTAAACATTTTATTCAGTGAGAGGCTAATGTCATTTCATATATATCTCTCAGATAAATCAGAAATGATGCATATTCATAACTGTGAATATTTGATATTTTTTGTTGTATAATTTATTTATGAATGACTTAAAAATTTGCAATTTTAAAACCATTCACTTATATTTTGTAATAAAAATTACAAAATTTAATTTAAAATAATATATAACATTTGTTAAAAATTTCATTATTTTAAAATTCATTACAAAAAAATTTTAACCTACTCGAAATTATCACAGTTGCAACTTGAATATAGCATTATGATTTGCTTTTTGTCCTTATATTATGATATATAAATTAACGAACACTAAATTTTGACTCTATGGAGGACTTACACACAATATGGATGTCAAAGTAATATAATAATAAGCCTATGTTCACCTATTTCTGCTTGAATACTCCTATATCAACAGTGTGTGAGTCTTCCATAGAGCCAAAACTTAGTGCTCATTAATTCATATATTGAATATAGCATATTTTTGCTTACACATTCTATTTGCCATTACAATGCCAAATTTTGGTCAAAATATCTAATTTGTTATAAGATATAAATATTGTTAGCAGTTTGCTAAAGCAATCATTTTTAATTATTAAATATAGAATATTATTAGAAAACATAGAAATTATTTTTTAACAGTGTGTGAAAATGCATAAAATGGCAGAAGCAAAAATAAATAAAGATAAATACAAATATTTAACATATTTATTCTACCATTTTGAAAATGCCTGAAAATATTTTTAAATAATCAATTATTATTTTGAAAATATAATAATTTAATACTAGTGATATCAAATAAATAGTTTAAATGATAATTTTATTAACAAAGCATGATTTAAATATAAAAATATACCATTTAAAAAACTGACAACTGTTAAATATACCAAAAGCAAAACAATCAGACTATTAAATTGATTGAAAAAACTCATTTCAAACATTTTTCAATAAATGTGGCAATGTATCACCGAAGAAAATAAATAAAGCATTGTAACTTTTAATTCAGTATTCTACTGATATTAATCAAAGTCTCATCAAATTACTAAATCTGTCACGATGCATTAAAAAATTTTTTTTAATGTATGTACTGAAGCACTTTAAAACATGAATAGACAGATTGTAAAAATATTTTTTTACATTTTAAGAACTGATTATAATATTTTGCTGTATGTAGCATGATACTTTCAAAAAAACTTTTAGCAGTAATAATTAAAATAAGAACCACCACCTATAAGGAAAAATGAGATAATTTATTAATATGCAAAGAATTGAATACTGTAAATATTAAACATTTTATAGGTTTGGGCCTCTAGAAAAATCAGTTAATTAAAAATATATTATTTAGACACAACAACCCTTTACTTCAAAATGGTAGAATAAATAAGCTTTATCTTTGTATTTATCTTTATTTTGCTTATGTCATATTTTATGCATTTTCACACAATGTTAAAAAATAATTTCTATGTTTTCTAAAAACATTTTATATTAAAGCATTAAAAACGATTGCAATAGCAAACTGCTAACAATATTTATATCATATAACAAATTGGATATTTTGATCAAACTTTTAAGTTGTAGGTATACATGATTATTAATACAAAAATCATTTTTTCAACAAATTACATTAAAACCTTTATAAACAATTATAAAATGAATTCCTTTATAAGTTTTAGAAATGAATATATATTATCAATCTGTTTAACATTTTCAAGTATAATATAAACAACCTATAAACTATGAAGATAAATACTACTAACCAGACAGATTTTTTCTTTTATTATAGTTCAAAACTGATTATCATTTTCTCTGTATTTTTTTCAGTAAAATAACTTTGATTAGATTTAATAAACAATCATTAAACAAGAGTTTTGCTGTCCGTAATAAAATTCAGTTTGCAAAAATTGCATTCATCTGGCAATTGTAGTGGCGAATAGCCAGAAACCAGAGTAATCTGGAGAAGAAAACGTCGTTCAACGAAAAAGAACGTGAATCACTCATGATCTGATACAATTTTATTGTTAAATTTGTGTAAATTAACAATGCCACCTACAATTAGATGCATAGTTGATGCAGAGTTACCATTTTGGAGGTTTTACCTCTGGATTTAAATGTTTTCTTTTTGTCTAGAGGTAAATTTGAAGATTTTCTAAAGGAAATTATTTCTGTATTGTATATATATGTATGTATATTAATAAACAAAAATAAAGTTAAGGGAGTTACAACACCAACTTGTAGACTGTAATAATATAATAATAAACATGTCTATCAAAAAGCCTTAATTGAATTCCAGGGAGAATTTAATTCAAAATAAAAGCTTTTAGATCTACAAATGGAGGCAATCTTCGAGTCCATATACTCGACCACGGAATGAATTTTTTCGAAAAATTAAACAAAATAAAATTGCTTGAGAAACTCAATCATAAAAACTCTGCATTTTTTTATATTATCCGTCATACTTTCATTTTGGGTCGGTAAAAAAGTCACAGTAAGAGAAAAAATAACCCAGCAAATAAGAAACGTTTGGCAATTGCCACAAAAAAGCCAAGGAGACCCCCGATTCACACATTAACTCATAAATTCGATCAATTACTATATTAAACGAAAGAAAATAAGGAAAAGTAAACGATAACTCACCAGTCGAAACCTGTGCTTCGGTTTTGTCGTTATTATCAAATTTTTCAGTTTTATAAAATGAATTATCCCAATTGTAATGTGAAGATGAATCTATATTATTTTCCAAATTAGTACGTTCCGATTGTACATGTTTCTTTTTAAAACGATTATGATGATCCAAATCGATATCCGAATCCGATGAATCTATATCAAAATTATTTAATTTCTGTCGACGCAATCTTCGAGAGCTTCGAACACTAGTCCTGGTGAGATCAGAAGATAGATAAGTCGAAGGACTAGGAGACCGATTACTATTAGTTAACGTTCTTGACGTAGGAATATCGGGTATTTTAAAGGCATTAGAATCAACTTGATCATTTGTTGATTGAGATCGACCAGAAACAATGCTTCGTCTTGGACGAATGTGACGTCGTGATGACGTAGATGATGTGGATGTTTTCGAACCTTTCCCATCCATTTCGTTCTCGTCCGAACTGAAACGGCTCAATTCTAACTTATTCGAGCTACGACGTTTCGTTTTACGTTGTTGCATAGCTTTGTCGAATTTCATTTCGTAAACTTTTCTTGTCGTGTGTGTTATAGGACCTACCTTCTCTCCTAACTCTTCGAGTTTCTCTCTCAATTCCTCATCACTCAAAGTGGACGCCATCTTAGCTAATAAGATCCGTTAGGCTTAGCTTTGACACTAAAAAAAACTTCCTTTCACCTATACAACATCAGAATTTCTTACTTTCGTACGTATTTTTTAGATGATTCACGCACATAATGGTAGAAAAATACTTTAAAATAATAACGGCATCGACTTGTATAATAAAATCTTACGTTCACATGGTTACCAAAATACAATCACCGACGCTCCGAAAGATTCGTCTGACCGGCTCTGACGTCACAACAAACCCAGATGACCGGAAATATAATTATTTTTAAACATTAAACATATTTTATCGTTTTAAATAATTTTTTTAATTTTTATTTTCGACTTTTATCAAATTATATAATAATAATATTGCATCGTTGTATAATATTTAATCAATTTATGTATCCGCATTTATTCCGCCGCTGTATAATGAATAATTTCAGTTCAAAAAGTATATTTTTTTATTTTTGTTTTTAAGTTTTTAAATATATCTTCCGTTATTTCTAATTTTAAAAATATAATAAATTCGTATAAATTATTTTTAAAAGCCGAAATCATGTTTGCATTTGACATAATAGGCGAACTTATAGCAGACCTTCACCTCTTTAACAAAGAATCTTCTGTTTAATACTTATTCAAAGGCTCCTTTCTTGGCATCCTCAATAATTTAGTTGGAAAATTAAAATTACACTAATTATTTTTTAAATCAACCTAGTAAATTACTTAATATATATGTGTGTAATATATGGAAAATGTATTTGAAGTGTTTATAATAATAATAAGATGATGATCATTGTGAAAAAATATGAAATATTTAAGTATTAAGTTACTCTTCTAAAGAAAAATCTTAATAAAAAATGGTTGACTGGAAATGTAGTAGGTGCTAATGAGATGAAACTTATAGTTCGAAAGAAAAAAATTTAAACAAAGATCTTAAGATACAGTTAAATATTTGATGACACATTTGATGACATATTTTCATTTTTTGTATTGTCTTTCAAATTTATTTGTTCGAATTTTAGATGAAATTCGAATATTTAAAATAATCAATGTTTTTCTATTGATAAATTCATCCTATTAGTATTAAAAGTTACAAACGTGAAAGGAAAAGATACTTTTTCCTTTATTTTTTGTAATTTTTTTCCATAACTAAAAACACAATTCAAGTATCCGATCAAAAGTAAAACTTGAACTAAAATTTAATAAAGTCGTATAATTTATAAAGAATAATATTGATCATTTTAATAATTTTATTATTTTTGACACAAGTAAATATTTTAAAACTTTGATGGGTGTTCTATAATATTTTGCAATGAAGTTATTTTAATAAATAAATTTATCGATTATTTTAAATGTGTATAAATTTTTTCTTTGGTAGTCTTTGAAAGCAATGAGTTCTCCGCTCTGGAAAACTTTCATTCAACTCTGGATTAGATATTCAAAAAATTTCATAAGTAATCTTGTCCCGATAAGCCAGGCCAGTACCCATTCTTCGTCATCAGTGATGAGTGATGCAAAGACATCAACACGTTACTTTCAAAATTCGGGATTTAATCCGACCAGACGAAGAGTCTCGAGAATTTTTTTTATACAGTCAGTCAAATCCCGTCACTTACCCCATTGTAAATCTAGCCGAAACTTCTCTGGGCCTGAAAAAGGTCCTCTGTCCTCTTAGTGCCCACCTGGTAAAGAGTTAGAAAAATATCGTGATTAGCTTGTTAGAAATTTTGGCATCGTGATTTGGTTTGAATGTTGGAATCAAGGATTGAAGCCATTGTTAAATATTATATGGCATCGATACGTACAATGCATTGTGTCGCGGTGATGTTTGTAAATATTTTTCCTGTTACGTAATAAAAGTTTGGTGGCGCTGTTGACCCCTCGGGGAACCGTTGCTGACAGTGACCTCGTTTTACTCTCCCCCTTTTCAGCGCTGACTTTCCGTGAGTCAAGTCCGTGTTATCTTTTGTGTAATCTTTGTTCCTTTGTCACGTAACCAGTTACGCGAGTCTAACTAGTTTTCCTAATCTCCGAAAAACAACCATTGAAGATCTTTGGAAATTTTTCAGACTGGTCGAGTCGGTCCTAATTACTCTGTCGCTAGACGGCCGAATCGCCAAAACGCTAAAGGCAAGAGGACGGGTGGCCGAGGCGGGTAAGGCATTACCCCACCGCTCTGCAGAATCCTGATCAAATTCGGCTGAGCAACTCTTCAAGAATATTTCGGGGTAAATCATCCCCGAATATGTCTGTCCGGGATGTGTCGGCAGTGCCGGCCCGAGGCAAGTTTTAGGATGGAGCGAGATCCTATTATGGAGCCCCCTGGTTGCCCCTAATTTATACCCTTTAATTTTCTTCACCACTGAGGCGCCCCCTAGGACTTAGCGCCTGGAGCGGCTGCTCCGTTCGCCCTATGGTAGGGCCGGCTCTGTGTGTCGGGCCCCGTACTCATCAACTGGCCGCAATCATTCTAGGCCTGGACAAATCCACGACGGGTACGATTTTAAGAAAGACCCTCTTAGTGTCAACAGGGCAGAAAAAGTGTTTTTTTAAAAAAAAGTTCAGCTGCTTCTGTGTAAAAAAAAGTTGTGTTTAAATGAACACCATGAGTTCTGAAAGACAATCATCAGAGACTAGTTGTGGTGGAGCACGAATTTATGCTGCATCTCTTTTTTGCGGTACCTGCTGCTACGCAAATCTCCGCCTAAAAACAATATCATACTGTATTTGTAAATGCACCAATTATTGACTAAATTGCAGTGTTTATAAACGAAATGACACTAATACTAAAATTATTGTCAGCGAGGTTTTAAAAATAGATTATCAAATTGCAAGATTTCGAAAATAAGATTGGTAAATTGGTAAATCGGGAAATAGCAAAAGCAGCAAGCATTTGTATTTGTTTATTGCTCATTTTTAACAATACATGTACGTGCTTTATCTTTTAGGCGCTTAACTTGTCAAAGAAAAAAATCCTTTATATGCAATCAGATTATTAAATAATTAATTTTCAAAAGTTTTAGTTCGTGAAACCAAGTAATTAATATAATTATTGTAGAAATATTAGAATATTGAATTTGCAGAAACAAATGCTTAAAGACAAGAACAGAATCAACAAGAATTTCACTATCTTTAGAAGTCATCGTTAAATATGTGGAAGGANGGTGTATGAATGTGTGATTTATAGGGGTTAATGAAGTTGTTTTGTGTGGATGTATAAAGTTTTGTCATCCATGTAAATGAGATGTGACAGTGTAAACTGTGTTGTTTTTTCATGTCTGATATTATAACCATATTGTGTGTTGTTTAAGTTGTTCATGGTTAGGCAGAACCAGAGAGGACTCATGGAATCTCCTTAAAAAATTCCTCACCTAATGAATATTTGGTTTGTTTCTACGGAAGTATTATGAATCCTGAGATGTAGTGTTGTTCTCCAGTGCTGCACAGTGTTTTGGAAGAATGCAATGAACGATGAGTGTACTTTGTACATGTGTAGAATATGTAGTAGACAACTGTGTGGAACACTGTGGAATGCTTTTCTGTAGTCTATATATTCAATGTATATGTTTCTGTGTTGTTTGTGTGCTTGCCGTAGAATGACTGAATCTATGAGTAACTGTTTGTTGCATCCCCTGTGATTTCTATGGCAACCATTTTTGTTGTTTTGTAAGAATGTTGAAAGAATGTTCTGTGGTGGCCATATCGAATTTGAATTTGTCATCATAACTTAGTTTAATGTATCAAACAAAGTTTTCATTGATTTGTTTTTATTATTATTATTTTTACTAGAAAAGTATTTATTAACAATTAATGAGATAAAATATACACAAAGTATGGAAAAATTGGATTATTATCATAAATTTTTAATACCTTTTCATTAACAATGAGCATTTATTGTATAGTAAAAAATAGTTAATATTAATTATATAATAATTATAATTAATAGTATTATTTGTTTTATTTTAATCAATGTAAAGATTCTTAATCTAACAAAAAATGGGCCCCATTGGATTTCAATAAGCCCCAAAAAGATCCGCCCTTGATTACTACTCCATGCTGGATTCTTTCAAGTCAAAAGTTTAGGTTAAATTGTTATGCATTACAAAAAGTTTATTCCTATTCTATGACAGCTTTCGAAATTATATGTATGCACAATTCTAAGCTATAGTGATATTGAATGATAGTTACGCTACAAACTGTGATGAAACTTTATTGAATTTTTGATGATTGTAGAAAATTGTTTCAATACAGCCAATGCTGTTCTATTTCAAAGGACAGTTCTTTCAGACTAATGCAATGATTTTCAAAGCTAAATTATTTAAATATAACAGAATGGGACATTCTGTTATTGTAATAAAACATGCACATTCTGAATTATTTATTGACTTACAATTTTTTTTTAAATTAGTTTATTAATTATAAATAGATCAGAATGAAATGCTTTTTTCATTAAACTATCCTGGAAATTTTCTATAAATTTTTCAGTTGGTTTAGTTCCTTCTTTCATTAAAAACTTAAGAATACATTCTCTTCAGGATGTAATTTATAAGAATGCCTTAGTGTAAACACATTGTCACTATATTGTTAAATTCAGCTACTGTAAGTGTAATCTTTTGTTTCCAATATAATTGATTTTATGGATAGAAGTATAAGTGAACCTTGAATCTTTCTCATATCAATATAAAAAAAATTATTTATGAAAGAAATGGACACAGTAAACCATGTAAACACAGAATTGAAATGTTCTTCTGCAGACTGTTCAAAAAACTTGTGATGTTAACAAATTTGAAAAAATAATGTTCCTGTTTTTTATGGAATTGTAAGGTTGTTCTACGTTCAATTTTGATAGAAAAATCTGAAAGGAAAGTTTTTATGTTATTTAAATAAAAATTCTGCTTTTCCAATTGAGTATAGAGGTGCATTTCAACATGGATCTGAACACCTATTTCAGGTTAAGGAATCCTCAGATTTGTACTATCATATATACATATATATATACATATACAGATGAAAGAATACATGGAACAAAGCCCTCCTAGAACATACAACACATTATTTATAAATTTAATAATTAATAGTAAGACAAAAGAAAATGAATTGTTTAAAAATAAACAAATGCAGCTTAAATTAATCAACCATTATGACATTATGACTTTCATATCTTGCAATATAAAATAATTTACTTCTTTCAAGATTTCAGATTTTTCTGGTAATCATGACATCTACGGTCATCTTTTGACTATCATTT